TCTTAATTTACAGAAGTGAATGGCTGTTTTTTATATAAGCGTCCATTCCGAAGAAGTTTATCTGCGGAGACTTGGTGCTACGGCAATCCAAAAAGTGTAGGTTGAGTCATATCTAGATTGCAAACAGCATGTTAACAAGGCAATACTCTGAATCGCTTATATAATACCGTAATTTAACTCATATTAGGTTTTTATGTTTTTAGTAATGGTTAGTGAAGGCTTCTATGAGGTGAAGACCTGTAATAGTTTGGCACTGTGAAAAGTTATCCGGTGTTTGGTCTGCAAGTCTTAAAAGCTGGTATATCTCTCTGTCTGGTTTCAACATAGAACTTTGCACAGATGTGCAGCAGTTCGGGTCGCCACACTCCATGTGGCACACAAAGCAAGGAAAGAAAGTAAAAAGATATGAAAAATAGTGACAGATGTGAGGCTATATATATATATATATATATATATATATATATAGTTTTATGGGTATTAAAAGTCACAAGGATGCTTCTGCGCCATTGAGAACGATTTTGAGCCATATCACCGATTGTCTTCAGACTTCATTGGTTTTGCCGTCCCAAAAACCCCAACCAGGAAGTCTGCACCTTCCTACATGACTGGCTTAAACTATCTGTTGTGGATTTTATTGACTGGTGCCATGTTTTGGTTTGACCACCGCTGGCTGTTTTCTAACCTGACCCTATGTCAGTTAACATTGTTCGTCGAGGAAGGCGATAGCTAGGGGTTCGTAACACATGTCCCAACCATTTCAATAGGCGTAACTTCACGGCCTCGTCTGTTGATTCCCCTTCTTTACCTAACCTCAATATTGCTCAACCTATTATACCACTTCACATGGGAGATAAAATGCAGGCACCTATGACCAAAGACAGCTAATCTTTTCATGTCTTCCACTCTCAATGGCCAGGTCTCACAGCCATAAAGGAGGACGGAGTGGACTGCTGTGCAGTACACACGCCCTTTGGTCGATAGTCGAACATCTCGTCTACGCCAGAGTCGGCGTAAACTGGCAAATGCGAAACGAGCCCCCTGTATTCGTGCTGAGATTTCGTCAGAGATCAACCCGTTGGCACTGGCTGATGGCACTTCCCAAATAAGTGAAGCGGTCAACGTGCTCTACCACTTCACTTCCTGTTTCTAATCTAGGAGTCGGTGTAGTCTAGTCCTGTAACATCATCTTGCATTTGGCGGGAGCGAATCGTATACCAAACATTCGTAGATTGCAGCTCAAGGTGTTTAGAAGACTCTGCATTTTGTTAGCATCCTCGCCTAGAAGAACTATATCGTCTGCATATTCTAAGTCAACGAGATTATTCCCTGGTAGCAAGTCAATCCCTGTGTCTCTGAAGTGAGTTAGAGTTAAGTCCATCAGTACATCTATGATGAATTTGAATAGGAATGGGGATAATGGGCATCCCTGACGCACAAAACTAGTTGTCACCACTTCAGATGACATCTCGCCGTAAGCCCTCACCTGGCTGCTTGGGTTCGAGTAGAGTGCCCTGATCAGTGCTATGTATTTTCCCGACATTTCCTTTACAGCCAAGTATCGCCAGAGTACCTCTCGATCGACAGAATCGACTGCCACCTTGAGGTCAATAAATATAGCGATTGTTGGGCGCCGGTAAGAACGACTATGTTCCAGAATCTTCCGAAGGGTGAAGATATAATCGATGCACTCTCTCTGGTCTAAAGCCTGCCTGGTTCTCCCGTGTTTGAGCCTCCCGTAGACCGCTTAGTCTACGCATGTTTATTGGGCCTAGGACTTTAGATACCATATTAGTCAAGCTAATCCCCTTGTGATTATCACAGGAAGACTTGTATCCCTTCTTGTATATCGGGAAAATAATCAGTAACTTACATCAGCCTGATGGGACTATCCCTGATTCCCTAATGCTGCCTAATACACCTTTGTTAACACAAACAGTAAATCGTCTCTGAACACCTCTGAAGTCATTCCATCGGGTTCCGCAGCTTTGCCTCGTTTCAGACTAGTGACAGCCTTAGTAACCTCAGTTAGGGACGGAGAACATGTGTCTATATCCCATCCAGGGAGTTGTTGGATGTTGGGTAAGTTCAGTGTGTCCGTAGGCCAATTAAACTGCTCCTCAAGGTGTTGTTTTCAGCATCCCAGTCGTCTATCCTGGGAGCTAATTGTGGTGCCATTTTTCTCAGAGATTGTTTCCCTTGTCATTTGCCTTTTATCACATGTTTCCCTGATAAGCCTAAATAGTTGTCTGGTGCTACCAGTCGCCGATGCCTTTTCCATCTCTTTCGCTTTTGTTGCCCACCACTATTCACGGTCGTTACGAAGACTTCTTGTTAATTTTCGTTTGAGTATCTTTCGCTCCTCATCATAATCGGAGCTCTCTGAAATCAGTCTTCTTGCGTCAATCAGTTCGAATCAGGTGGTGAAGATTCAGTGGTTCTTACTAACTTTAGATTTCAGGTTATCTAAAGCTGTCTCTACAGCTAACTGTATGTTGTGCCAGGCTACCTCAGAGAGAGTCCTGCTATTGTACTCAGATACTCGTTCCGCTTTTCCCTTCTTAAATGGAGACTCAGATTCTCGATATAGTTGGGGACGTAACTGCTTCGCTGCCAACAATTTGTCATGTCCTTTTAATCGTAAGCATAAACTTGCGCTAATCAGGGCGCTATCAGAGTCTATACAGGTGTTTCAGAAGGATCGACAGTCTTCTATTGACCCTTGCCAACGATAACCTATCGCTATGTGGTCTATCTGAGTCCAACGTTGACCTGGTGATGGAGATCGCCAGGCTACACAATGTATGTCTTTGTGCCTAAAGTTAGTGCTGAATAGAAACGAATGATTATCCCAACAGAACTGCAGATGATCACCATTGTGGGTTCGTCGGTAGGGAATTCCATACGTATCACCTACATACTTCTCAGTCTGGCATAACTTCGCTAGATGCGCTAAAACAATAATATTTCAACGTTGTGCTTTTTGCGGTAAACCAGATAGTTTCTGTTAGAAATCATCCTTTAGTTCATCCGAACTGCAGTTTGTTGGGGCGTAAGCGGAGACTACGAAAAGGCAACGATGGGTAGCATCGTCTTTCCTTCTTTTAACGGACCCGTCCAGACGGACCGCACACATACGACTATCTACTGGGAACCAGTCGTGAAGTGATTTTTCTGTCCCAAAACTCAATGCTATCCCTACACCTGCGAGTCTTCGCGACCTAGCTGAGGGGTCTCCTGACACTCTTAAAGTGAATTTTGCAGATTCACCTTGTTAGCTGGGTGAGGTTAAGTGAATAATCACACTCGGATCTTGTATGCGTGTCTCCTAAACACAGCATACATTCATCGCTCTAGATGGCAGAGTTCTTGCTAGTAATGCCTGTTGTCCGATTTGGCAGAGTCCTGACGTTGAATACTCCTATACGGAGTTGGCGATGTGGCTTTAGGAGGCTTTCGGGGGTTGTTTCTATGGCTCTCATCGTTGTTTATGGTCACAGAGTGAAGTGTGGATGACTCACTAGCCTGAAGAATATCACTAACTATAGTAGGGGAGTAAGGTGATGTGGGTAAAGGAGAATGATGCTCGAGGAAGCTTCGTGTGCTCTTGGAAGTGTGTGGGTGGTTGTTACTTCCCGGCTCCTCACACCGTGGAAGTTGATTGATTCGCCAAGTACGTGAAGCAGAATGAGGGTGTTAGTATTGCGTGACCGCAGAGCCCAGGGGACAACTGCTTGAGGCCAGTCAAACACGGCCTGTATAAACTGGTTCCTGGGGTTGGTTCGGTATTATCAAACTTACCGCTGTTTACGGACCATCATAGGGTAATTCAGGATGTGCAATTTTTGGGGTCGACCTTTTCTAACCCCATCTGTCCAGGGTGGACAGACAGCATAGCTGTCATGCTGGTCATCTGAGGCAGACACCTCACTGCTGTTACATCCCTAATCCCCAGCAGTACAACTCCGCCCTTGGATCCCCAGCACAGTGTAAAAAATTCTTACACAATGCCGGTAACTGCTTTCAGTCTAACCTCTATCTTAACAACCATCCTGGGATGGTAGGACCTTCAGGAACAATAGTTCCAGCCACTATAGCTTGTTGGATTATTGCGATGTGCAAGCCCGACCACCACGTTAAGGTAGCAGCTGTCGGTTGGTCTATATGCGTACTAAAAGTACGGCTATGCAATCACCACCAAGCATCTTATTGGGAATATAACCCCTTGTTTTCAAACTATAACTAATGATTCGAAAGCATTTATTCTGCTTGACCCTCCATTGTCTGAATAAACTGTTACTATAGTTGACAGTCAGACATTAAGTTTGTTTCATACCGTAACACTAAATTTAACATGGTCTGCAAATTTTCAGTCAGGAACTCTAATAATCTATGGTTATTCGTGGAGTGATGTTCGTTTTTCGAAATGATTTTCAGACAAACGCTTTTAATTTTCAAATGCTGGCTTCTTAGGGATTTCATTGATTTCAATTTAGATGATGAAGTTAGAGAATCATTAAAACCACGAGTAGTTATTGGACAGTTATCTTGTCAAAGGATTCACCTAATAACCTATAGGTCCTGGATCTGATCTCCATTGGGGTAATGCTCAAGTACGATTGAAGAGTCCTGGATTAGAAAAAAACATATGTTCAGTGCTCCCTGATTTTTCGTGGTTCTCAAAATATTGTCAGTGTGTCACCTAACTTGTAAAAGCTTTAAACTGCCTGATATTCACTGAATTCGGTTGCAATCACCTAGGTATCCCATTACAAATTCGAGCGTATTAAGATATTAATAATCAACCCTAAAGGATTCTGTGGTTGGACTCGTGATCTGCGTACTTGATTGCTGTAAGTGACATTCGATGGATTTGTCGTGTTAATTTTTTATCGTCACTATCATTTTTCTATTTTCAGGTTTTTGCAGCTGATAGCAGTAATTCATCGCTGGTGGAATGAAACGGAAATGGTTGTGATGCATAAATTGTGGTGAAACTGAAAATGAGTAAAGAGAGTGTAAATCCACTGAAGAAGTTTCAACGCATTTCTGAGAACCGAATTGTAGCGATATGCATTCCAATAATATTGGGACAGATTCTTGCTGTACTTATCAGTCTAACAGCAATATGTAATGGCATACTTTATCGTCATAAAATAAACCTACCACTTGCTATCAATATTCCACACTACTTTTTATTAGCCATTTTCTATGGACTTCCCTATCTTTTTTATAAATTGTATACAAGTTGTTGCAGTAACACACCGATTAATAGTACTAGTAATCCCAGTGATGCTGGAGATTTTGAAGAGGATTACAATGGTACCACCGACAACGTAAACATTCAACCTGTCATTATACCTAGTTCTAGAGGACGTTTAATGAACACATTACTAACTCGTCTTGGCCTCTATTCACTTGTTGGCGTCATTGATGTCCATGCCAACTGGGCAATTGTGTCTGCTTATGCATATACCAGTGTGACTAGTGTACAACTATTAGATTGTATTACAATACCAACAGTTGTATTGTTGAGTTACTTCTTCCTATACCAACGTTATAAATGGAATCATTATATTGCTATAATTTTATGCTTAATTGGTGCTACTGGTATGGTGCTTACAGATTACTTCATACCATCTTCTAGCACTGATAATGTTAATGCAAATGGAACACATGACAGTCTATTGAACAATACTATGACTAATCAATTTTTTACTCCACAACAAATGGTTTTTGGTGATTTTCTAGTCATTATCGGTGCTGTTGCGTATGCTGTATCAAATGTTTTGCAACACTACCTAATTGTTAAGTATGGTATTATTGAATTTCTTTGTTGTGTTGGTGTGGTAGCATCTGTCATAACATTGATTTATACAGTTATATTTGAACAACTAGCTGTTAGCAGTGTACTGGCTACTATCACTTCTGTAAATGTAACTGAAATTATTGCTTGTTTTATTGGTTATGCGTCATCAATGTTTTTACTTTATTCACTTATGCCTATAGTCTTGGCACGTTCATCTGCTGTCCTAGTTAACCTATCTCTGCTTACAGCAGATATCTATGCAGTATTAATGGGTGTTTATATTTTCCATTATAGTTTTCATTATTTATACATTCTATGCTTTCTATCCATTTTGTTTGGTGTTTGTTTATTCAACATATATTCACCAATCATTATTGATACTGATAAAAGAGGACAAATATCTAATTGTTTTCAAACGATTATGCAAAAACGGAAAAGGCAACGTTTAAGTGAACCTCTTAGTCATGAACAGATTGGATAAAAACGTTCATTCATTTTGAGGGCTGATTATTTTTATGCTGAAAAATCACCTTTCTGGTTATTTTGTGTGTGTGTGTGTGTGTGTGTGTTAGTGACTGCATACTTTTGTTTACTTACCTAAAAATACTTTGATGGATTAATTATGTATAGAGTTTCATTGTCATCTTTCATCCACTTTGCACGAGCATATTTGTTTATAACAGAATCTTTTATTTACATTCTCCTATTTAACAATCACTTTTTTACCGTAAATTAACAAATTTTTGAAAATGAGATTAAAAATTACCGCACCTTTTTTTTCAAGTAGACTTTTGTTTATCTCCCTGGGCAAATAAAAAACAACAACAACAGATAGATAGATAGACACGTGAAGAAAAGAATGCCTATAGATCCTCTTTAAAAAATCTTATTTTAAACTACAATGCTATAACGGCTACAAGTTCACCGCCTCATCATGTCGTGTAGATGAATGGAATAGTCTTGTTTCAGGAGGCTGAAAATCACTATAACAGATTTATTTGAACTCAAAAGTTACACAGGGTGTATTGCTTGCCTAGTTAACAGATACAGCTGAATTAGATTGTCAAGAAGTGGTGTGTTTACGTTGATTTGGTGTCTCTTGGTATTCGGAAGCTAGCGTTCAATAGAAAAACAAGTTAACATTACGGAAACACAGGCTGAGTTTTGCTATTATTTCAACTCCTTCAGTGGACTCGCTTTGTTCTGATGATGTAATCCGGTTAACATGTGATTCTAATGAATAGATGTTACTGCATTTATCGATTTCGGGCGATCTGTCAACACATATATTTGTACAATACACTGAAAGTTTATGTTCTAATTAATTCTATCATAGCTTGATTTCACAGAGTATTTTGGTAAAAGTATGGAATTTTCAGCATGTGATATCGGTAGCCCAAATTTAGCAGGCCGACCATTGATATCCGGTGTGCGTCGGTTGGGGATCAAACGCCGGACCATTTGCATGGTCGGCGAGCGTCCTAACCCCTGTGCCACATACGCTTATGACTAGTGAATGGGCTAGATTTCAAAGAATGTTCAAGACAAAATCTTAATAAAGTAACTATTATCAATGTGATGTAACTGTAGGAATTGTACACTTGTAAACAGAAAAGGAAACTCAGCACATATTGCAGTGTCGCTAAGGATTTGAAAAGCTAATTTAAATCATTGTAGTTGAAGTCAACTGATCGAAGAATACTAGATATGGTGATTCAAGTACACATTCGAAGTATGATTTCAGCACAAACCTTCTGCCAGCTTAAAGAACATCGTCATGGATTCACTAAAAATACTGAAGTCTCTAAAATGATGGGTATACAGAAAATACTAAATATGTCATCTTTTGTATGAATCAGAAAGACAGTTTCATCATGTGTCTAATATGCGCAAAGGAAAATGCAAAAATTAGAATTAATGAGCCACTGGATACTCTCACAATGGCTGCTAGGTGAACAGGTTCGCCTCATAATCTGAAGATCCTGGCTAACGAACCATGGTAAGGGGACTGTGAGTGCTAACTGCTGTGGAGTACCTAATTACGACTCCCTGGTTTTCAGTGACTGTAACTTAAGTCAGTTCGTTATTTAACTTGAAAATATATTATCGATTCAGATGAATTTCTTTCTCTCTGTATGTTTATTGCGCATCCTGCTAACAAGCATATCAAACCTAGTTAAAGTATGTGTGAAAACAATGTTGAGTGAACTATGGAAAAGTGGTCACAATATGACAGTTGGTATTGTCTAGTCACTAAGGTGAACTCAGTGCTATGTGTCTAATCCTTTGTGTTAGTGCTAACTGAATCCCATCAGTCAAGCGTGACATGTGGTAACTGAACTAATAATATTCGCAAGTATTGGTTTTGTAGGGATTTTTTGTTTGATTGGTTGGAGGTTTTCCAGTAGTTCTCTAACTGACGTCACCTCATGATGAAATCTTCTAACCAATCAAATAAATACCCTACAAACACGAATACTTGAAAATTGACCTGATGCTCACTGGCGACTGGCCCTATTCAGGCAGTTAACCAGGGGTTCTAGTAGGAAGCCGTAACCAGTAGGATGCAGCAGGTTGAAAGTGGGGACAGTTATTCACCGAAAAAGACATTGAGAAATGGTCGCGCTATGTTGTGAACTGGCAGAAGTTAGAATTCATGCAGTGGCCATTGGAGTGGGTCCTAGTGGCTCAGTGGTCTACGAGCTCTCTTTGTAACCTGAAGGTCCTGGGTTCGAACCCCTGTGGTGAGTGCGTACTGATGAAGAGGCTCAAACTAGGGCGAAACAACTGTCCAGTACGCCCAGGTTTTCCAATGGTTCTCTAACTGATGTCAGCTCATGATGAAATCCTCCAACCAAATGAACTAATATTATCATAATAATTGCTTCATTCCAGAACCGTACTTATGACACAGTGTCAAACAATATTACAGGATTGATAATAGCAGCTTTTTTGTATTTGCACTGACAATAATTTCAAAAATGTAAAATAATGTCAATGGTTATAATCATAAGTTAATTGAAATAGTGTTACCATAGAATATAAATAGGAGTGGATGAAAGAGGCGATTATTTTTCTAACAACATAGTAAGTCATAGGTTTCATGCTTAACATTATCTCTATCACGTGAGACGTGCGCCAAACTAGGCGACTGACCATCACAGTGGACTGAGCACTAATGTTAGAAGGTCGAAGACAGCAATAGAGCCAAGAATTAGACGCATATCAGTGATTATTCCTTAGTGATCAGTCAGTATATCCTTTACAGTCCTGCAGGTGGTTGATTGTGAGCACAACTCGCTCAGTAGTAAAGTCTTTGACTGAAACACCAGGCGAGAAAGCATCAGTTTCGCTCAGTGTTGAAGATACTCCTGGTTGGAGAGTATCAACAAGGATTAAGTCTAGGTAGTGGGATTTCTGCAGATTGCCTTCCAAATACCTAGTACGTGTCAGTTTAGTTCTCACTTGTTACTGAATTAATAATTACAAAGTTTCAGGAAAATATTTCCGTCAGTTGCTATGACTACCTAATACACGATAAAATCATAAAAATTGGACAAATGATAAATTGGTTAGTATTTTTCAGTGCACAAGTTATATTCACAGATCATATTTCATAAGGCTATATCACTAAGTAGAAGAGTGCTTTCAAATATTCCCTATCAATATTATTACTTTTCTTCTTGACTAGAGGAAGCCTTCGTATAAACAGGATTACACTAATTATTGTGTGTGTTTAACTGATGACGAGCAAGGCAGAGTGCACTGATGCACTATTCCAGTTTCGGGTGCCGACTGGATGCTAAAGAAATGCATATCTGGTTACATAATCATTGTTTTAACCTGTTTTGATGTAAACAAATAAGTATCTGTTTAGATGATCTTTATTATTTCATTGTAATTAAAGCCAACAGAATGATGTAAAATTCAGAGTAATTTCATACATCCAGTTCTCTTCAGTAGCTTGAATAAAGAAAGAACGAACATATTTGCAGGAGCTCGTTTTATTTAATGGATTCTCTTCAACTGCTTTTTTTATCTGTCTAGCGTACAAAGGCGAAGAAGTATCCGTAAAAACGGAAAACAGAATTGAAGGTGTATTGAAAAGAACATTCCCCGCTGCTAGACTCACTCCACTTTACAAAACAGTATACCTGTTAATCCAATCAAAAGTAGATAAGTATCCCGCTCCACATGTCAACACCAACTGCATCTACCACCCTCTTGTCTAATTACCGTATATATAGTTACTCTATTAACACTAAATAATTGTCCACTTACATCATCTTTGAAATAATGTTGTTTATACTCTCTATCTGTAACTTAAAATCATTGTAAGAAGCACGTTCAGACGCCGTTTTGTAACATATAATTGATTTATTTAGGATGTACGCAGTCGAAGAGTACCCACGAAATAAAACGGGTTCGTTGTAATATCCTGCGAATATGTTCGTTCTTTCTTTATTCAGAATAGTCTATTAGATAATTAAATAACTGACTGGCTATTGTCATAGAGCGTTTACGAAATCATTAGTGATTTAAACTAGTGAGTGAGTGATCTGTATCGTTAGAAAGGCATGTATATAATCTGACACTTTAATCCTTATCGTCGGTCACCAGCCTAGTAAATTTACTATTTCAGTAAATAAGGAATTTTTAAGTCAATTTGGCTTTTTAGAACTGAGGTACTCAGTTCACAATCAACCTCGTTGAAGAGTGGGTCATGTACACTAGGCGTTTAGTCAATGGTGAAGGGTGCACTTCCTAACACTTATGCTAAAAGTGAAATCAAGCATTTATTTCATACACTCTTTCCCCCTTTCTGATCTTGAATAAAGCAAGAACAACGGTTTGTGCAGAATAAGATGGTACTTTAATTTATTTCGTAGGCTTCTCATCAGCTGCGTGCAGAACAATTTTAAGCTACTTGCAAACCAAACTTGCGAAATGTCAGTTGCCAGGAGACTCCAAACTGAAACTGTGCTCAGAAATTACACTTATATAGCACATGCACAGAAATTTCAAGTTTAAACAAAAAAAAATAATAAAGGCTTGATAAGTCCAAGTGAAATCACAGAAACAAGGGACAGACAGTATTACACTATAGCGAAGAAGGAAGGCGTTAACGCTAAAGATTACCTAATCAAATAAAAGATGGAGTAATGACATTCAGTTAGTACCGCAAAACAAGACTGATAACGTCTACTTTATAAAAGCATTAACTGAGTTTCAGGCATTTGATAGAGATTGCTTCAGAAAGTTTGATGACCAGTATTCTAAATCACGTGACCTTTTGATGTATCCTATTCCATCAAAAACAATCAAAGTTACTCGGTACTCGTTAATGAGAAGCAATCAGTTTGTATGCATACTTCATCTTTGGAGGATGTCATTCCTGATGTGAATAATTTCATGGTAAAAATTAGTTACTTATGGCCTACATCTACATATAATGAGGAAGTCCACATTCCAGGCTGTCTCAAGCTTGTCTGTGCAACACGATATTACGTTTTTTTTTTAGCTAAATGCTTACATTACACATATGCTATGACTAGAAATCGGTGCTTCGAATAGTCGTTTATGACAAAACAATAAATGCTTAGTTTTAATTACTGATGTCTTGAGATTAAAAAAGACAACGAATATCGATTAATATGCATTAATGATAATTTCTGTGTATAAAGACAATTTATTTATACGCTGAAATTCGCAAAATTTTGAAATTACACAGTTGAGGTGAAATTAATCCTGTGAACTATCACTTTGCTGAACTAGCTAGCGAGAATTCAAGTGGTTTGAATTCATTCTGCTTAGCTAAGTCGATACACGTACATCTCTGATGAATTCTGCACCAAGAGATGAATTTTTTTTACTCTGTACACTATTTTAGTGACATGCGCAACTATCACTCTACAATAATAATTTAGCAGATAGTTGAATGGAATTACTACAAGCCTTTAGAGGTGTCTTAATAAGGAGCACTAATGAACATGAAACCTAACCTAGATAAGTAAATTTATTTGATATAACACGGAGTGATACAGTATTGATAACTGGATGATGCTTCGAGTACAATTTATTCGTCATAATCATATCAGTGTATTCGCTCGACTTAATAACTTGCTGTATATAGGTACTAGTCCCTGCTGTTTTTTAACGCAACAATCCATATATCCAGTATATGCATGACATCATTTCAATTTCATGCGTTCGGCGCTGGTTCAGTGAATAAATGACAGTTCTTGTAACTCACTATTCTAGAGTGATGAATGTTGGTCGCAATTGTGGATGGAATAAAATTGACGGCCTAATATCTCGTTGATAACCACAGTAAAGGTCTCCTTAGATCTCTGATGCGACCTGAACATTGGTTTGTTGAATCATGATGTTTTTGGTTATTCTTGTTATCACAGATCTCACTTTTTCATCCTTATTATTGATAAAACCATTATTGTTATGAATAGTTGCACAATTTATATGTACTATCTTAGTATCCTATAGACAAAACACGGTGATTGGTTTATGATTGAATTTTGCTTTTTAAAGTTATGTATATTAGAGTTCAGCCTGATGAGATCTGATTGAAAACAAAACTGTTTGCTTAAATATGTTGTTCTAAGTTTTATTTCCTCTTCAAATGATCTCCTCTATGTCGCCCTAAGACACCCAACTGATCAATTCCCTTTCAGCTTCCACTGGATGGTTTGACGTACATGTGGGGTGGGGGATTCCATCTAGTTCTCAGCTTTTAGTAACCTTATGACCTTTAAGACCTCTGCTTTTGTAGTACCTTTAGTGCTTGATGATAGGTATATATATATATATATATATATATATATATATATATATATATATATATATATAAACTATAAAATTAAAGTTAACAGTCAGAGTGTATAAATTCTTTATCGCTTCAGTAATTCACATCAAATATTGTTTGTAAAATCACACACACACAGACAGACAGCACTGCTTTGCATGCTTCCAACTACTTGTGTATATTTCAGTAGCAAAGCTCATTTCATTTGTTTATCATTGTTACTATTATTGATAATTTCACAGGCATTACACATAACATAACCCCCATGTAATATGAACTATAACCAACTGTTATGCATGTGTAGAATTCACACTTAAACATGCAGCTGGTCAAATGATGCAATCACTTTCCTGTTTAACATCACACTGTTTATAATATTTGTTTATTTCTTTCTTATGATGAATGATTTGGTACAAAAGATGTTTACCTGTTTTGACATTTTCTTTTTCTTCAGATATTTCCGAATTTGAAGGTCATATGTTGAAATGTTTATAAATCAAACTGTCTACTGATATTTTCTGTGCATTTATTGCTTAGCTACCAAGATATCCGATGTCTCGTTAACACAGGTTTATCCAGCCAGTCATTATATATGGTATTCATTGTGTAGATAAAACATGGATGCATTTATGAAACAGTTTATTATTATTATTACCATTGTTATTACTGTTAATACAATTCTATTTTATTTATAAGAAATATGCATGTATTTATCATTATAATTCAGTTATTTTACTGATTTGAGGTGTCATTAACCTTTGCACCGACTGTGTTAATTACAAGATTTATGAAACGCTTATCAGATACTATTTCATCGTGCAATACACCAGGTATAAGAATATGCTTACTGTTTGTCCAATTTCTGCATACACTTAAAGAGGCTAGATTTACTGTACCATCACCGTTTTCAAAAGTTGGTATTGGTGAATGATCGGGAAAGTTATCATGCAAATGACCATAGGATTTATAGACTATTTGTTTTACCGTTAGTAGATCTGAACTGTGCACACATAATATTTGAGATAAACCTTGTGGATCGTCAAACATGTTGGAATTCTCTTTGGATGATTTCATCATCTGATATCCTAGAATTGGGAGAGGAAAAGAAAAAAAAAGCTGATGTATTGTTAGTTATCACCTCACTGTGATATGTTGACTAAACATAAAATTGCGTAGGATTTCAAATATGTTCTGACTGATAATTCTGTGCAGTCCGGCAAATGATTCCAGTCATAAATGAATACCAGTGTAACATCACCAGAAATTCAGGATGTGGTTGACAATTTCTGACTGTTCCATGAAAGCTATGATTGGAATGATACACAAGAGGCTCGTGTGTGCTTTCACATTGTGATTAAAGAAAGGGATATACATCAGTTTTGAGGATTGAAAGTATTCCGTGTTCTTTTAGGCCTTCATATTCGATCACAAACGTTTCATTAACTGCATTAATGGGTTAGTCAGCTGCCAATCAATTGACGTGTACAACCATTTAGAATGATAGTACGATAATAATATACATGCATAATTAGAAACGTATATTTAAGAGGAATAAGTGAATAAAAACAGATTTGATCATTTTGAAGTTAACACTAGCCCAAGTGGTAACTGTAATTTTAAACCTAACTCTAGCCCTAGCCTAGTGCTTTGGCAACATACTAAACCCTGATCCAAAGTGAGAGAAATCAGCATCTAACTGCAGATTAATTCGTAAATAGAATGAATCCTTAGGGAGAAACATCATGACTAGTTAAATTATGTCAGTTAGTAGGTCATTCGTTTGGTTTGTAATAATCTATGTTTACCGATTAACGAACTCATAAGCGCTTACTTCATATAGAAGTCTAATATTTCCAGAGGAGTTAAACTAAAGCAGCTACCCGGATCCATCTTGCCACAAACCCTGGGCAAATAATCAGAAGTAAGGAGCAATAAAAGCTGCAAAATTGTTTGAAAATTGACTACAGATTATGGCGTTCTAAAATCTATTTGTATATCTAATTCGGTTCTTTAATCCACAGCAAAATCCTAATCTTTCTATAGGACCTGGTAACTTGTCAATCTTCTTTCGCTTATATACGTTTCAGTAACTCTAGTTAGTCGATTATTCCCCAGGTGGTTAAACATTCTGTCTTTATGGAATTCATTGAGCAAATCCAGGATAAAAATTCAACTGCTTAACAAGGACCATCCATCAAGGTGGCCGCTAAATTTTAACTTCCCCATTTTTCTTTTTTAAATAAATATTTATGTAAAACATACATTGACTATGAACTTTTATTTGAATGAAGATGGTGACATTTTTAAGTGGGGATGTCGTTACTGACCTAGACTTGTTCCATCAGTATGTGGAGTCTCCTGTTGATTTGATTTTAGGCTCTTAGTCTGTTCAACTTGTACTTTCTAGTCTTTCAGTTATGGAACGTTTCATCTTATTCTTATCTGTACATTATGTCTATTTGCCATATGTTTTTTTTGTTGGAATTTCCAAGATCTAGTTTTGCGTTTTTTCAGCCTGTAAACTATAGTGTTTCCACTAATTCTAAATAAAATCTTTGCTTAAGATAATCTACTTGTATTTATGTCAGTAATGACGCTGCATATCATCTCTCTTTTGGAAGATACTCTTGATGAATAACGCAGACAGTCATTTTGTAATTACTTTTTAACTCTGCACTCATTCTACCTGCATTTTTGGTAGTGTGTCTTTGAATTTGTATTAAGCGGTTATTTGTTTTGTCTATATGCTATACACAGTTTAAGTGGTCCTAGTTTGTTTAAATTTCTATTCAATTTCATATTAAATTTGGTTTGGGTTGTTTCTTCGAGTAATGATATCTCGTCAAGAACTATTTATGCGACGTCTTAAAAAATTCCCCGTAAATCCACACAACGAAAAAAATGTCCAGCTTGGTCCTTTGGTTCCCATTAAGGTTGCTTATTATCGAGGAATCAGTGAATGAAAGGTTTAAGGCCTAAACTGATTAGCAAAACTTAACTTTAGTTGTGTGTACTAATGTGACTATTAAAACAGACACTCCACTGGTAACCACTGATCTGGTGATCGAATCATTTACACAAATAAGGATTTTGCAGAAATCCAGTCACTGCTGTTACTGAGCAGTAATAGGACACGAAATCTCCATGAAAAGCAACCTCTAGTAAGTGGACAAAAATTGGAATATAAATACAACGTGCACTGCAAAACTTAGATTGTTTAATGATCATCGAAACTATGAATTTTGAGTGGTTAACGACTATAATCAACTTTATTGTTTATGTCTACAGGTTTAAACGAATGAATGTCTTTTTACATTAGAAAACGTACACAATAAAACATGATTATGATTGTATAACGTCTAATGGGTGGATATCACTAGTTCTGTGGTAACATTATGATAATTTTTATTTTTCCTACTGCATTCCTTCTTAGTTATCCATAGGTGGTGTTGTTTGCTCATGGGGATGAGAGAGCTGTTTGGTGTTTGTCACTCAGTCATCCGATTGACAGATACGAAGAAGTTACTTAGAGTCACTGGAAGACCATGCCTGTGAAGCACTTCTTTATTCCAACTTCAGAATTCAGAAAAGACTGATGACATGTGATGATATGCAGTTCAGTTGCATGCAATTTCAAGAACTCATCTCCCGATATTATTTCAGTGGCCGACTATATGAGTTTGAAATAAAACAGTCAATCACAGGTCTTTCCAAACAAACACTATTTTAATTTGTAGGCAGTGATAAAAATTCAGCTATATAATTCAGTATTCTAAGAAAAACAAATGAAGCATTAAAAAGGAGGTAAAGATAAGCTGCTTGGATAACAAGTAGATCAGCTTATTCTTTAAAAATTATGTGAATACAATGAAAAAATGCCTCAAAAAGCTAAGACTAAAATGCTCACTGTTATAAGGACTGAAATCGTAATGATAATAATAATAATTATTATAATAGTGTGTAGGGCAAAGTACATGTGAGCAACCTAAGCTGTGGAGCAAAATAATTAGTAGCAAGAGGTTGATCAGTTTCAATTAGGTGTTATTAATCGAATAAGTGAATAAAGATGATGTTAACAGGATATTTTTCATTTGACTGAGTCATCTTTTCTACTAATCTATTTTTTTTGTCTCATTCTCGATATGTTTGTACAGACTGGAAATACTTTTCATTGACTTCAATGTATCAACACTTGATGGTGGAAATAACTGCTACCAAGTAGGTTATACACACTGCGGTTTTGTATTATTATTATTGTTTCCTTTCATTCCTAGAGGAACATACGGCTTCAGCCGCACTTCTTCATTGCGTTCGTTTCTCTGACAACGTTCCTACCTGGCTCCACGTCTGCCCACATGCTTTCAGCTCCTCTTCACATCACCTGCTCCATGTCACCCTCTCACTGATGACCAACTCGCTGCTTCCCATTCCGTTCCCACTCCAGCAATGGCCTGGAGTGTGATGTCACTTGATGGTTTGTTTTCTCAGAGTATGACCAATCCATCTCCATTCCTTTCTGCATATTTGTTGCACAATTGGTTCCTGGTTGGTTCGCTTCCAGAGATCCCTCCCTGTTGCTGATCTTTTCTGGCCATCTAATATTGAGAATTGGACGAAAACAGCTGTTGATGAAGGTCTGTAGTTTGTTTGAATTGCCCTCCGTGACCCACCATTCTACTTTCAAACAGTTTCGTAGTATGAGTAGTCTGATTGTCAAAAATAAAACCACAATAAAACTTATCCTACGTACTTAGTTCAGTTGTACATTATCATCATTTGAAGGCTTCTCACTGACTCCAGAATTCAGCCAAACAGTAGTAATGGTTCAAATACACTTGTATCAGTTAACTGCTTACTAAGGCCTTCATCAAAATGCATGGAAGATGGCAGTAGAGAATTGCGGGGTATGGGTCGGACAATCAACATCCAGTCTACTCATGATTTTATAAGTGTTCAGAAATAAAAGATTAAATGTGCACAATACTTACCAATTTACGACTGAGTTAGCCATTTCGAATTATTCATATTTCACTTATATATATATATATATATATATATATATATATATATATATGATGTAAAGTGATTGCCTCAGATATGAATGAGACAGTTACGATAAACATTTATAGTTCTAAAAAATTTCTATCAGTCCTAAAGAGTCAGTCGCTAGATACATTTGACTCCCACGTCTTTACAGAATTTAATCCGGATAAATTCTCATGATACATGTAAACAAGGTAAAAGGTTTACTGTCTATCCTTTTTGTACTCCTTTCCTGTACATGATGGTTTCGATAAGTGTTTGCAGTTAGTTAAGTCATTCTTCGGGTTTGTATTTTCCTGTTAGCCTTATAATTATGTCTGTTGGTTAAATTATTTGAACAAAAATCAGTCAAGGTGTCAGGAAACCTGGATGTTTTCCCCCTGAAGAAACTTAGACTATCCTCCTTAGTGGAGGGTTTTACCTATTGGATGTCAAACATGCTAAAATATGAATAAGAATAGTACATTTGACTTAATTTTAGATTTTCCTGTCGATTGATTGGACCGAAGTGCTAGGTCTCAGGTTGACTTGTCGGCTCCTTGTACAGATGCTTCGGCGATGTCTGGGCATGTAATTAGAAGTTAATTGGTGGATGGTGACTAGCACTGGAATCCAGGATGCGCACTTCGTCATATTCGGGACTCGTCATCTGGATGTACCTGCACTCCGCAGTGAGTGATGTTCCCACCGAGGTTCGAGACCAGTGCCCATAGTTTAAAAAGCCAAAGCGTGACTCACTAGACTAAGTGGGCCACGAGAGCCACCTCTTGTGCAACGGGTCAGATTGATTATTTAATTCAATTTTAGACTTTCTCTTTGGTTATTACCTCGCGTAGAACTTATATAGTGAATCAGTCTTTTGATTTGTTTCAAGATATTAGTTTTCCAATGGGAAAGTGAATTGGATTAAATAAGTAATATGACCTGTTGCACAAGAGGCGGCTCTCGTGGCCCAAGTGGCCTAGTGGATAACGCTTCGGCTGATGTTTGAAACTATGGGCACTGGGTTCGAGCCTAAGGGAACATCATCACTCACTAGGGAATGCAAGTACATCTAGCTGGAAGACGAGTCCCAAATATGACGAAATATGCATCCTGGATTCCACTGCTAGTCACCATCCACCAACTAAGAATAATACATATCAGCTATCTGTACACTTACACTTATAGCACCCGCGGTTTGCTATACTTTCAGGCTGAATGATACCGAACTGGGATTTCTTTTATATTCTAAATTAAGACAGTTGCTTATTTCTAGTATGATACTGTTGACAAGCTAAAGAGTATCTTACTGGAGTGATTTGTTTCTTTAAAAGGAAGACCAGTTTTCATTACATGTGTGAGTCAGAATGTCAGAATATATTAAATCCCATGACTGGTAGTCACATAGTAATCAACCAATACAGATGAATAGGTGTTAACCGAAATTAGTCGATAAAGTATGCAATGCTGTCACTTTTCATAGTCAGAACTACTACTACAGCTGCTTAAACCTGCAGAGCTGGATACAAATTTCTGGAGGTGTTGATGAATACATTAGGGAGGTGTAACACACTAATACATCATCACTTTAATTTCTCAGTACCCAATAGAGAATAAAGTAACCAAACTCATAACTTTCAATTTCGTTCAGTTTTATAACCAGTGAGCTGTTCAGCTCTGACACATCAGCTGCAATTTATCAGACTTATATATTTATATAAATATAACTGCTTTCACTTACCCATTGGAAAACCAATATCTTTAAACAAATCATAAAACTGATTCACCGTATAATTTTTACGGGAGGTAATAACCAAAGGGAAATTCGATGGCCATAACCATGGTTCGGGCAGTAGAAATGAAACTGATGTAAGCGTTCGTAGGAGTGGTCGGTTAAGAATTGGATTGTGTATGAAGATATTGTAGTTAGTGCCTAAGTGTCAAGTCGTAAATGAAAAAGTGAGAGAAGGCAATTTCTATTATTTTAGGCCCTTATAAAATTCTCTTCTATCCATTAAATATGTTTTACAATACAACAAGTAAACAGTATAAATACATACATACAGAAAGACATGCATACATACATCTATGTGTATAATCACTTCTTTTGTGGACAAAGTTGGCCTAGGAATAAACTAGCATCATAAAATGAAATCAACCGGTGTCAGTTCTGCAGGTAGGGCAATATAGGACAGCTCTTCATTCTCGTTGTCTTGCTTTACAGATAACTATTTCTACAGTAGAAAATTTGCCATGAAGACTTTTTTCTATTTAATACTTTGCTTTCAGCTTTTAAGCTGTATTAAAGTACTTTTTGAATACAGAAGTAAAGCAGAACTGTTGTAGAAAACTTGACTGAATTATAAATAAGCTGAATACATCAAAACTGCAAACTAGCTATCCAGAGTTAACGTATGCACTGTATATAATGTTATCTATCGAAAACTGTTATTTCAACTCTTTCCTCCTTTTATGTTCCTTGAAAAAACAGAAGTACATATGATCATCTACTCTTATCAGTATTGAAAATGGCATTTTGGATGTTTACGTTAGAAGGATTTAATAACCATCACAGAAGAAATCAGTAATAAACAGTAAACTGTTAGCCCCAGCCAATGTACGACTAAACATTACCGAGTATTTAAGTGTTGGTTTGTAGGGATTTGACTGGTTACAGGATTTCATCATGAACTGACATTAATTAGAGAACCATCGGAAAACCACCTGGGAGTACTGGACAGCTGTTTCCGTTGTCTCATTTTGGGACTGTTCAGCAGTACGCACCCACCACAGGGGCTTGAACCCAGTACCTTCTGGTTACAAGGCAAGCTCGTATAACATTAAGCCACTGGGACCCGATCTAATGACCCATGAATTTTAACTTCTGCCAATTCATGACATAGCGCGACCCCGGTAGGTGCGTACTGCTGAACAGTCCCAAACTAGGACAACGGAAACAGCTGCCCAGCACTCCCGAGTGGTTTTCTAATGGTTCTCTAACTAATGTCAGCTCATGATGAAATCCTGTAACCAATCAAATCCCTACAAACCAACGCTTAAATAAAGAGACATTCAGAGATATACAGAGGGCAGAAGTAGCATAACATAGAAAATCTGTGCAAGTGAAGATTTTAAGATAAGATACACATCATTTCAATACATAGAGATACCAGATCCAAGATAAACACTGTTACCAAGTCTCTTGACTTTTACCGGTACAATACTAGTCTACAGCGAAAACCCTATTTCAGGCAAATACAACCTTGAGATGATGACTTCATTGTGAAATGAAACAATTTGAAAAAAGCTCAAAGTTAAAGTATATTCGGCGGTTTGTGGTTTTCCTGTTATAATATTTCATATTTCCCTCCCGCTGAATATGTAACATCCTGCAGAGCAGTAAACCTGCTTGGTCAACATATTCAAATGTCTTATTTTCTGTTATATCAGATGATTTTATGTAAAACACTGTATACAAGATGGTGTTGATAAATGTTCACAGTAAACTAGACTTCTTTCTTAGCTTAATTCTACAAGTGGGGGCGCACAAACTGACTTTGAAGCGAGACTTGTTTAACCTAGATGGTGCCTCACCCTAACGAATAGAAAAGGAGTATGAATTTCAGTGCCAACAAGCTGCTTTAATAGCGAGATCAGAAAAGCAGGACTGTGAAATCTGTGTGGAAATCTGCTGAACTCAGTATGAGATATAAAATTCATATTTTCAATGCCAGCTTGGGGCATCATGAAAAACATTTCTAATCTGTCTCCGAATACTTTCGTCAACAGCTGGCTATGTCAGGTACTGGATGTCAGATAGTCGACCGAAAAAGTTAAGCAAGCAACAAGACACTCTGATAACGTAGCAGCCAAGAAGCTTTTTGCCCAACAAATATGCCGAAGAAAATGGAGATGAACGGAACCCATGAAGATTAAGTTGTCCCATTGTATTACTCATTCTTACCTTGGGGGATAACATCTTTCTAACTCTGTTTGACTGACGTTGCAGGTAATATCACGGTATCATATATTCAGTCTCATTTTGCCAAAGTGACTGAATTCAACCAATAAGTCTTGTATAGCCAGCCCTCTATTGTCTATGAGGCATTAAAATTTTAAGACTAACAGTTTTATAATATACATCATACATTATCGAGTTTAATTTATTCTCTAAGCAAACAAAAACAATGTTTTCTTATTCCTAAACAGTATAGGTGTTTAAATGCACTGAAGTTGCATATGTATATATATATATATATATATAGTCGATTTCATTGTTTACAAACTGTTACTGTTTTAAATAAAGAGTGAGCATAATATCGTATAATCAAGTTGTATAACAGTGAACAAGTACTTATGCTGTGTTATTATACATATTTAGCAATTTATAACAATAGAATTATCCTTACTCAGTGGATTAAACAAAAAACAAGGTGAGAAGAGTGTAAACACTCCAGATGAAGTGGAGAAATAAATTTAATGAAAGATAAATAATCGAAAAACTTAACTGTCTGTGATATGGGTATTACAGATACTTTCGATTAAATGGTATCCACGCTAACACAACCACTAATGGCTGCATAGACTTGAGTTGACTTCAGACTAATATATTATTATTACTATTAGTCCTTGCATCCGAAGTGTAATATAAGGGTTCAGAGGCACCTTTCATTGCACTCAGTTCTTTGCAGTCACTTTTGACTGATTTCACAACTGCCTTACACGCTCTCCTTCATATCACTGACGTTCGCCCAACTTGCCAATTCCTATTTAAACTCCTCTCGAAGGTATGCCTAAAGTGTGATATCACTCAATGATATCACCAGTGTACACCCGATTCATCTTCATTTCTTTTTGCATATTTGTTGGGTGACACATCAGTGACTGGTATGTTTCCAGAGTTCCTTGTTGTTTATCTTCTGATCTTCAGTATCTAACGAAGGCAGCTATTGACGAATATCTACAGATGTCAGTTAGAAATGCTCTTAATGATGCGCATACCAAGTGTCTAAACTATCTGCAAGTGCTAACATTACATCTAAGGTTAAAATTAGGACCTTATTCCTTGTGCTGAATGATGTGGACCTCTACATCGATCACAGATTAGTAAGTTTTTGGCACAATTCCCTTCTCCGTACCACCTGATTGTAACAGCCCATTTCCTTTGAATCTCTGTGATTCATAGTTACTGGTGTTGACTATTGTTGGTTGAGCATCTTCACCTCCATCTCTTTTATCTTCACCCAGAGGTCTTTACTGTCAAATATGTATTTATTTATGCATTGATTCCCCTTGATGAATTTGAACATATACTTATTTATAAAAACTGGTCACTGGACAGCGATCGCTTTAGTTATGCAAACCCTAAATGTCGTGATGAATTTAATTCATAAGTGTACAGCGTAACCCATACACCCGAGTTATAACATTGGGCATCTGGTGGCAACTAAATGAAGGTGCTTCTGTCCACGCATGTGTATATGTCCGCTTTAATTCATACACAAGACGTGAGTTAAACCGCCAAAACTGAGTATTAAAACTTTCGGCAAATAACAGCACGTCATATTATATATATATATATATATAATATTTTGTTTCCTTAAAAGTAATCAATCGCTTCAATTACTACTTTTCATATTCGAAAGATTTATGGCTAATGGTAACAGTTTATTATAGTAAATTAAAACAATTCTTTGTGGGATGCACGTGCCATAGTAGAAAATGTATTGTAACAACAGAATACAAGGGCCAGGCAACAGATCGTTTTATTACGGAAATCAACACGTATTTATATAAATTTCACATACATTATTATAGCCTAGTCAAGTAGACAAACGCAGTCTTCTGATTGGTGGTTTTCGAGTACCATGGAAAGTGGAGCCATCTGTCTGCGAATCATATTTGCCCACGTTTAAGTTTGCTGTGATTGGTTTTTGAAACAGTCTTGTTCATATTTCCTCACGGCCCATATTAGTAACCTAGACATTGACGTAGATTAATGTCAACAAATTGGCTAGCAGCCTGCTCTCACCACAGTATAAGATTAATTTTCATGACACACATACACATAAGGTGATACAACATTAATAAATGGATGACGTTTCCAGAAAAATCTGTTACTCGTAGTCATAATACTGTATACACACATGCCTAACTTGGTTTATATAGCTTTTTTTGATCCCTTCTGTGCTCAGTGGTAACGTCTATGATTGCAGCACTGGGTGACACGGTCTCGAATCTCAGAAGCGACATGAGTTCCTTCAAGGTTACAGATACGCCTTGCTGATGAGTGCCAACTAGCACGAAACCTAGGTCGAGCTAGGCTTCCTTCCGATTGCCTCCAACCAACTAATAATAACAGTCAGCAGTGTACCGTGATGATGAGCCACATAGCATGGTGGCCATATTGCAAACTTGACTGATAGAATTCAGTCTGCAGTAAACAAAGGACTAAATACATGGCACTAGTTAGTGTCAAATCAAAATTAACCTCATTCTCCACCTTATTTTGTTACTTTTTAAGCTCTTATCCTATGCCACTCTGCTGTATGATTGTGTGGAAGTGCATGCATATTATATAGTTTAATGGAGAGAGGGAGAGAAGTTAATTACTGATACTCTGCTCACCGAGGTAATATCAAATAAGTGAAAATATAGAATTGCAATGAAGAATAAAAGGGATGGGAAACAGTATAAAACAAATTAGCAGGTCGTGTGAATACATTGGTATGATAAATTGCCCTCGAAACCTCAGTCACTTATTAACACTATATCACTGTGCTTAGAGTAAACTCGTTTCTCATGGACACACGCTTTATACCTGTTACTGCGGTTCCTTTTTACAGTTAAAGACCACATAACGTAATAATTGCCTTAACTTAATATTTAATTCGATTACTTAATATTTAGTTCATGTATAATCAGCGTAATTTTATGTTACTAAATATAAACTTCAAAATTAGTAAATGATACCTTTACTGGCGACCTAACAGAACACTTACTTGGAAGTAAAATGAGTAAAACAATAATTTAGTGGAAATATTAAATGTATAGCTGAAGGGAAACAAAAACGAAATACAATTGGGTATATTTGTGTGTATGTGAGCCAAACTTAGTAGAACAGAGAATTAAATCTGTTCACTATTTAAGGATTTGAAATGTGCCTTCAAATGTCACAAACTTGTCTGCTCTCTTCATTTTATGCTGTCACATTGGGATTACTTTGATTGATTCATACTTTGGTATTAGATGGTATGAGGCAATCGGAAGGAAGCCTAGCTCGACCTAGGTTTCATGCTAGTTGGCACTTGTTAGCAAGGTGTATCTGTAACTTTGAAGGAACTCATGTCGCTTCTGAGATTCGAACCCGCATCACTCAGTGTTGCCAATTACTCGAAATTTAGGTCAAGCAAGCTTTCCTGCCCACTGCCTCCAACCACCTGATGCCAACAATTCACAGTGTACCGTGATGGCGAGCAGCCTAGTGGCATACTGGCTATATTGTAAAATTGACTGGTAGAATTCAGTCTGCGGTAAACAAAGTACTAGACACATTTTACTAGTTACTAACTAGTGTCCAATCAAAAAAGATTCATGTTTTTCGATAAAGAAAGGAAGACGAAATTTGCAGTATAAAATGATATCATGCTATTTCACACGTTCTCATCAGTCGCAGACTACCTGAAATTACAATGGTTATATCGATAATAATAACACACTTTAATGTTTAAGTGGTAGTAGAGAAGAAATACTATAAAACTGACGCATCCAAAAAGTCTGGTTTGAATCATTCAATTTAAATGTTAAATAGACAAAAAACGGCAAATTTTTTCATGACTACAAAATACGTTAGTACAAATGGGTTATCCTAGTAGATTTGTCAGGAGACACATGAATGCTAAGTACAATAAAGAGAAACCGACAACAGTTAAAAAGAAACAACTGTTCATCAAACTGCAATTTAATGGGGACGTGGCTAGTGAAGTCTTACATCAGAGATTATCGAGAGCGATAAAACGGACTTATACTGCCGCCACCCTTTGTTTGTCATTTTCCAGCCGGCCAATTTTGATTGCTCAAGTGAAAGATAAGCTACCTAGTTGTGCCACTTCCATGTGTATCTATAAATTTAGTTGCTCCTGTGGAGAAAGCTATATAGGCCTAACAACTAGACAGCTTAACAAACGCACTAATAAGCATCTTTCTTCATGGTTCGGAAAAGGCCAAATAAAATCCATACAAAGTACTATTTTGGCTCATTTGATTGATAGTGGTCACCAAGTTGACAAAAATAGTGCCTTCAAAGTTATTTACCGCATTCCATCGAGTCTTTCGAACGGAATCAGAACCCGTCCTTTACACTTAGCCAAAGCTAAGGGAATTCGAGAGAACAATCCTAGTCTTTGTATACAAAAGAAATTTGTTCTACCTTTGTCTCTCCCTTGCTTGCCTAGGTGAATTCTATTCAAAACCCTCCCACCCTTACTTATCATCCATCTCCTTCGTACTTTTATGATATTTATTTAAACTCTGATTATCGTTCCATTTGATTTGACCTAATTTATTTATTTATTGAATTGTCTACATATATGCATATACTAACTTTGTTATTCTTATCACCTATATAAGCCTTATTAACAATATTTTGTTATTATTATAATCATCACTATTAACTTCGTTCAAAACATTTACCACATTATTATTACTATTATTATTATTATTATCATGATTACTATTATTGTTTGATCCACTAAATCACCATCATTGGTTAAAAATTTTATATATATAAGTCTATGTAAATTAGAGTAAAGCCTGAAGAAGATCTAATTGAAAACAATATTGTTCGCTTATATGTCTTGTTCTAAAGATTAAAAATGTTTTTACTACATACTGTCTAGCAAATTAATGATCAACTAACTGTTACATGGTACGTAAGGGGTTCAAAAATATAGTGCTTTCCAACCACATACATGGTACAGGTTTAAATTCCGGCCGACGCCCTGCTTAACCTCGTCTAGTTTACCAACCAACAATAAACCCGGAAAGAGCAAAGGTTGGATGTAAGGTTAGGCATTCCAACTCTTAAAATACTACACTGTTGTTACTTAAACTTCCCACTTCAAAGACTGGAGCCTCATATTCCGCCTGGAACTAAAAGAATGAAAACAAAACTTTTGCATGTAAACTTCACTTTGACTTACGATAATTATTTTGAAATAGTTTTGGTGACACGGAAGGTAGATATTACTGATTGTTCCTCATGAAGGTGAACAGTTGGGAAATGTAACTACCTGGAATCGTCAGCTTTATAAACTGATTGGTTTATTTAACACACATATTGTAGTCTTATCGAAAGCTAGAATAGATAAAATATCCGTATTGAATACATATGTCTAATGAATATGTGTCACATGTGTACAAGAAGAATTATGTAAATTAGTATATTTTTTCCACACGACACTGTATGCTGTAAATACAGTGAGAATGTATTAACCAGGATACTATAAGATGGTTGGATAATTTCTGTGTTTAAAGCCACTTCACAGTTAGCAGAAAATAAATGAGGCAGAAGGAATAGAAATCGTTAGAATGTAACTAGTCTATGATAGATACAATCGGTGTTACCTATTCATCATAATAAATATGCAAAAAGTAGCAAGACTTTAATAGATTAAAACTTACCAGACAGTAGGCTACTTAAAGCGTTAACTGATCCACCGAATGGTGCAGCCACTGAAATATAAGTTCTAATATATTTTTCTTTCCATTTATAGGTTTGCAGATCTAAAAAGTATTTTGTATACAAACTGCCTAAACTGTGAGCAACTAGAACAACTGAACGATTCAATCCATTTGTATAGGTTTCTTCGATTAAGGCTTTAAAATTTCTCATGAATGCCTTGTTTTCATCTATTAGGAAAATACAGGGAATACAAGAGGGAATAGATTAATACATACTTATGCATTGCGAAATTGACGACTTACTTGGAGCCCGACGAAAGTCATACGGTGCACCGCGTATAGTGAAATTCGATATAAAATAAGCATCTTCTTTCAGCGTTTTCACTAAATCATGAAAATAATGTCCTAGACTATAACCATCCGCGTTATAATTCTCCAGTGGCTGAGTATCACCCCATCCTGGGATGGTCATCTTGCAGACATCGTTGTCAACTGATCTCTTTTTAATAGGATCATATTTCATGCTGATTTATAATAGGAAGAAATTTAAAATAAAATATAAAAAACATGGCAATAGAAGTGACTGTCACTTACTGAACTAAATAATTTATCCATGATGGAAATGCCATATGGAAGATATTAAGCCATACAGGGAATGGTTCACCTTTAAATTGTTTTGGCTTACAATACATCTGATTGCCACCTATGCCGGGGATTAGAACAACCGGATGTTGGATATAAGGTCTACTATCATGTTTCGATAGCAATGATACTTTCCTTCCAAATGACAAATAAATATTTTCAGTAATTATCTAAAAGGAAAGCAGGTCAACTTAGGTAAAAATATGCTAATAGAAAACAAACTGTTAGTAGAATCATGCAACAGATGGTCATTATTCCGGTAGTCATTTTCAGTATTAGAATGCAAAAATACCAGTGATACTAACAATAACGATGATAATGTTGCTTAATTTGCTGTGTCTATTTATCTATTTTAGTATTCGATTATATATATATATATATATATATATATATATTGAAGTGGATAAGTGATTATTAAAGTATTAAGGAGTATTTAAGGACTACGTGTTACGCAAACAAAAAGTAATTAAATACTATACGAGAAGAAAGTGTTTGCAAAGATTTACTGGTTTAAAACACTACTACCATGAAGATTATCACTTTAGTGAGGAAGTGATTGGTGTATATACGTATACACTCATTCATTCGTTTGTGTTCCGGGAGGAACGCAGGGCTGTCAGCTTCAGCTTTGAAGCTTCATTAGCGGTAGTGTATTTATTTACAGAATGGCGTGATTAGTCTCACGCCAATCCTTCGTTCTTCACTAAGTCTGCCACCAGCTAGGCGAACTTCATGTGTATGTCAGCCGGTGATCCAAGCCAGACCTCAAGTGAATGTTTGGCGAGTATTCTCCCACTGAAGCACTTCAGTGAAGAAGTTATATTTTTATTTTATTTTTTTATTTTTATCTTATTTTTTTATTTTTGATCACAGCTTGATTCCACACTGTATTTTAGGTACAAGTATGGAATTTTCAGCCCAAATTTCGCAGGCTGACCATTGATATCAGGTATGCGTCGACAGGGGATCGAACCTCAGACCATGTGTATAGTCGGCGAGAGTCCTAACCACTGTGCCACCGACTCACACAGTTAGTACAGTTAGTCACTCTAGAAACTGAATTATCCCCATATACATGAACTGAGAGTGGATTTGAACCAGAAACCCTTTTATTTTAATAAATTCTCTTCAGGTTCTTACATTTTTATAATAAGTTTTGACATTAAAAGGTGGATAGTTACAGGACATACTTAATACAATAGAGTTAAACAAGCGTGGTGAGTAACGAGTGAAGGTGAAACAGGATTCCAACATGTGACCTCCGAATTACTGGTCGCTAAGTCACCATGAGTGCGTCGATGGCACAGCGGTGGAATGCTCGCCAACCACACATGTGTTTCGGAATTCGGTCCCCCACCGACGCACTCCTTTACCTCATTAAGCCAGTATTAAGACTGGTTAGCAACCACTTCCCGTAAAAATCAACACCAATGTTACCGAAACTTCATAGCTACAGCTTAAAACCCTATTTTCCACTGCGAAAGTAATGGAATAAAAAAGTCATCATTCACTACTCCACGGCTATCCCAGATAGTATCACCACTAAGGCTTGACTAGGTCATCGAAACTCCTTATACAGACGGTTAGTAGTCATAATAGATTAACCAGATACTATTTCAGGTATCTGTTAAGCAGAAAAGCACTGACTGAATTACAGTATCTTATTATTCTTCATTTTTTGAGTGCCGAATGAAACATTGGCTTTGGAGGCACGTAGCTATTCCACTGTTTTCCATAACATTAATTTGATATATATATATATATATATATATATATATATATATATATATATATATATATATATATATATATATATATATGGATACATCATACTTTCAGCTAACACCACGACCGCCTACTAGCTTTCATTTTCACACTAACTGATCTCCACGGTGTCGCCATCGAACACCAAACCTGTCGCTTCACATTCCCCTTCTCCTTGAGAGTATGCCTCACTTTTAATGTCACAGAAAGTTCTTCTCAGTGTATGCCCAATTCAACTCCAAATCCTTCTGTTTGTTTTTGGGCGATGGGTTGCTGGCTGTTTGGTTGCCTGACAGAGTTGTGTAATGCTAGTTTTTCATTTCTGGTTGGCTATCTCACCATCGGATTTGATGCTCCCATTTTTATTCGCAGTATAGCGTACTCTTCTTATTTGCAATGTGAATTCACTGTCTAGATGTCGTTTTTAAAACACAAATACCTACATGTACTCCGCAAAGTCTACACAGTGTCCTCCATTGAAGCATAGATGAGCTTCTGGATGATTAATAATTGAATAAAACTCTAATATTGGCCTATTTACTTCACGTTCATGGACATAGCTTTTCTGAAGGGGTTACAGTGTCTTCTGAGGTTTCATACTAAGAACGGTATTTCTTAGTAGACAGTTGTGGAGAAACAATAACCATATTAATTTTAAATGCATCATGTCTAAATGGTACCATAAATTCCTTTTTGAAATTGATTCAACAGACAACTATGTCGTCATCATCCTATCATTAACCATTATTCTCAAATATCTAACATACATTTGTAGACTTAGTTTGGAATATTTAAGTAAAACCGAAAGTCACACTATCACAAGCTAAACTAAACCACAAGAAACCACAAAAGTTCTGTGTGAACATTTCATGTTTAGAAGAGAGAGAGAGAGAAAACAAACAAATTCCATCTGAAAAATCAATATTGCTGTCATTATGATTAGGTCATTGAGAAGTGTGAATATCACTGACTTTATTGTATGTTTGTTGGGGTGCAGTTATTGATTTTCATTAAAAAAAAGAAAAAAAACTATGTTTTAATGATACTAACAATGAATTCGTATTTAGCTCAAAAGTTTATTATTTTTTTATTGAGACTAACACAAAGAGTCTAGTATATGCAATCAGATGAGTGTTGCCTACTCATTGTGGAACAACAAAATTTGTGGCATAGAACTCTCTCCCCCTCTTCCCTTTTTTAATTGTCTGTATCGGCAAACTGTCCAGCGGACCAATATTGCCAGATTGATTGGTCTAGTAAGTGTGTCCGAACTTATTCTAAAGTCTGGATTAATGCATTAAATCACTTTTATGCACTAATTCAGTTTATTTTCTCTCACTCTGCTCTTTTCGACCTTTGGCGCAAGGTGGAGTCAATCCACCAGATGCCTTGCTTGACTTAAGTTTCGTGTTTCTTGGCACTCATCCAACAAAAAGGCGTATCCACAAATTCTGAGGAGACTTGTGTTCTGTGGTAAGGCGATGTAGTCATGTAATCTGAGGAAGGCTAATTAAGATCTATCTACCAGTTACATATTATGGCCTTCACCCTGATCTGGATGCTTCACATAAATAGCATATCTATCACAGATGGGTTCCTGTCTAACTGCTAAGAGAGGAATTTGCTGCAGTCAACCATTAGTAACTTCATTTCTGGTGAAGTTAGCCATGACAGTAAAAGATATGGAATGAAATGAATGATATGTGATTTTCTCAGGTCTGAGAAACAGGTAGTACTAACTCTTTCCACTCATTTATATGCTGCATTTTGAAAGCAGAATACTTTGGAAGACTGACATAACTCTGCCGCAGTAAATTTGGTCTTTGGAGTAATAGGTTATAAGATCACTAACATGACATTTACAGATCAAATTAACTTTTAGTTGTTATATGTTTACATTCGTCAAATATTAAAATATGGCCCGAAGTACGTAAAACTATCGAGATGAATAAGAAAAAATTCAACTTATTCATTCTGTAACCTCGCCTTGTTTGCTCGGAAGACAGAGAACGTTGAGAATGAGTCCAGCGACCCCACCATACCTCTATGGAAACTTCAGAGTACTAAATAAAAACTGGAAAGACTCTTCAATTCGCTTCGAGAAACGAAGTTCATCCATATGCCTTAACTCGATGAGATGAAAAGCACATAAAAGGACGTGTGATATCATCATGGTGTTTGCGACCGAGAAGGCTGATCAAATCGCAGACGAAATGAAGGGATAGGGTTGTTAAGAATCTGGGAGGCCAGATGGGATGGGAACAGACCATACAGATTGTTAATTAGGGAGTCAATAATAGACTTTCATCATCCAAACGACAAACCTGAATACACTGAAGAAGTGGCTGTCATTATATCACCAACAAGATTGTAGGCTGCCATGTCATGGGAAGCAGTCTAGCTTAGGGTCATGACAGTATTGTTGAATTCACAAAGAATGGAGGTTAGAATAATTCAATAATAAGTAATTACAGACAACGCACATCAAGAGGAGAGAAAATTCTTCCACAGACGTATGTAAAAAGTAATTGACAGAACCTTATCTAGATGGCAACATCTAAATTCCAGTAGGTAGCATGAATTCTCAACTATGAGCGGAAACAACTTAAGGGGAAATCATCACAACTCAAGAGGAGCTCGCTAAAATGAATTCAAATGCAGAAGTCTTCGTAGACTTCTGAGCACCTAATGATCGAGTGACTCAAGGTAGTAATCAGGAAGATGTAAGCACTAAGTAATATCACCGCGAAAACATCTGTGGAAGGACAGTGAAAGTCTTTAATAGCTACATGCAAGGAAACCTGTATAGAAATCTTAAGGAGCAAGAAGAGGCAGGACGAAGTAGATTTACAAAATCTCAGCATACATATAACAACTTAATCATCGTTCCTCAGCATGGGGTGATTTCTGCGTTGTCAAATTGGCCAATTGGTAAAGATAACAAAACCAGGTGTAGATTGTTGGATTTAATAAGTGTGTAAAATTATAAAAACAATGTGTGTTAACATAATCATCTAGTACGGCCTAGAACAGTATTCAAATCTTTATGTCAACTTCATAGACTTTAGGAAGGCAGTTGATATCATTGACTGTTAAGTAATTTAACGAATGCTTAAAAAATTGTGAGTGAAGTAATGAGAACATTTATAGATAATGACGGATTCCTAGGTGTTTAGAGTGAAGGCAAGAGTGATTATGGTAATATTTCAAACAAAATTATTGCCCATAGTTACACAAATACTTGGAATTGTTTTATCAAATGAAAAAGCTGATCATTGTGTGTAAACAACGACTGAAATAAAGTTATAATTAAATGATTCATTTCACTACATAAAAATTTTCCACGGATAATAAGGTCATTTCACCTTAACAAGGGAGACAGAACAGCTATCTCCTTCTAGTTTGAGATTATAGTAGTACGCACCAGTGAATACATCAGGGAGCAAACTCAATACAATCGCGTTACAAGGCGAGTCCTTGGACGATCAAGCCACTGGGATGGAATCCAATAACCACAGAGTTCTGCCACCGCCAGCTAACGTCATTAGAAATTTAAGATTCCCGGTCCATTTGGTCCCATCCCAATGACTGAGTATTCAGTGGGATCATGTTGTAACTTGAGTATCATGTGTTCGATATCCGGTGGCATTATGAATGCGTACTGCTGAGCATTGTCAATTCAGACTCAAATAGCTGCCGAGTGCTTTCTGATTTTCAAAGAATCTCTAGCTAGCGTCAGCTGATGATCTAAGTAGATGTCATTTAGATCCCTGCAAACCAACGCTTGAGAATGATTTTTCATCTGATTAATGATCTTGATTTTTTGTAAACATGGATGACAATGACAATAGCCAACCAAACCGAGGATTATATAACAGGACAGAGTGAAATATTATGTACGTCTCTTTTTCAGAAGGAAGGAAGTTTTGATGTTATGCATAACAGGGTCTTTACTGGCTTCACATTTTAGTAGGCCATTGTATCCATCAAAGTCCTCCAGGAGATGCATCATGAACCTGACTGAACAACGTGATAACGTCTTTGACTACAGTGTCTAGTGACATGAGTTCGAATTCCAGAGGGGGCATGAGTCCCCTCAAGGTTGCAGTTACTCCTTGCTGACGAGTGCCGACACGGATGAAACCAAAGTCCAAAGCTTCTTGCCAACTGTGTCCAACCGTCTAAGCCTTAAGTGTCCTGAGTGGACCAATGGAACTTTGACTGGGTGAACCTCACCTGGAACCGCAACACATTCAGTTTAGTTTAAAATATCAGCGTGGGAAATAAAAATTTATACAAAATTAGCAAGGACTCTTTAACAGCGGAGGAATTCAGTGGGTTTCTGCGCTGTTTTGTCAAGCTTGTTGAATTAAGTGAGAAGATCGATTTTCTCAGAGACGGTGTAAATAACCACAGATATGCGAAGTGGTATTAGAAAGCTCCTCGTCACAATTAGATTTATCCTAACTCCAAATCTCATAAACGTCACACTCTGAACCAAAAAGATTTCATTCTTTCACGTATCCCAGAACTGGAGCAAACCATAGCATAACGTTCCTCTACATTATTTGAATTGTCAAGTGGCGAACGCCAAGCTTTTACTGACTGTATCAGTACGGTTACGGAGAAGTGCACAAATTTTATCCATTCAAACCTATTAACTAATCTTGAAGGCAAAGGAATTCCAGGCAAATTTCTGGAAGATCCTGTTAAATTTATGTTCTATCATTCTCCAGTAAATTTAACTCCTGTACAGCTCGAGGCATTGTCTGTTGGGTCGAAATTCTACGATATGAATCAAAACATTAGCAACCTGAATACATATGTTGGGTGTGAAAATTCGATTAATCAGACTAGTGATCTTTTCCTACTCTCTGAAGACGAGTTCAAACGTTTTATGTCAACAATTCTAAACTCAAGCGATCAGTATCTCAATGCAAAGTCTAACTGCAAGAATCTTTTCACTAAATAATAACAGAGAACAACTCAACCAACTGAGACATAACAAGGAATTGCTAATCACATGCCCTGATATAGGTACTCGTATAGTCCCGAGGGATAGAAACGACTATATTAATAAAATGCTGGCAATTCTTTCAGTCGACAACAAGTTCATTGCATCTGATAAAGAAATAACTGAAATGCAACTCACTGATATATTAAGGCAGCCAAAATCTGATCGATTATAGGATTTCATTATGAGCTGACATCAGTTAGAGAAACACTGGAAAACCAGCTGGGAGTATTGGAAAGCTGTTTCGTCAGTCTAGTTTAGGACTCTTCGTCAGTACGCACCCGCCACAAGGGTTCGAACCCATGACCTTCTGGTTACAAGGAGAGCTGGTAGACCATTAAGCCACTTGGACCCGATCCAATGGCTACTGCATGAATTCCAACTTCTGTCAATTCACGACAAATCCCGACCACTAGCCAAAGTATTCGGCGAGGGTGTGAGGACAAATACTCGCCGAATACTCATGTGAAGCGGGATACTTAGGTTGTTCGATACGTGTTTTATCCAAAAGACTCAAAGAGTATTATCTGGCTTGGCTATGAAAAGTTAACAGTGGATCCATGAGGAGGACTATAAATAAACACATATTCAACACTGATCTCCCAGTGTATGGGGAGAATTCATTCAAAGTTATCTATAAAGTCAAAGAAGCTTCCCATAGATGGTGGTGAGCTTCCGTATACTTTGCATGTCCAAAGAGGCTATATCGATTCGTATGTCAAACCCTGGTGAATTTACACAGAATTAACTTCTCTGCCATCTTCTTCCACTTTGAGTATAATTTCAAGTTCCACTACTTTGTTAATAATGCTTTGAATTTTCGTATGACGTTCTAGTGACGTCTTTTTCTTAACTAACCCTCTATTTCCTCTCTTTACTTGTTACATAATTTATTTTGAACACTTATCTTTCTGGACGTCTTTCTTATTACGTAACCGTAAAGAAGACTTACTAAGCTTCACCTCTTCTGGTTACCATTCGATTATTCATCACATTTGAGATATATTGATGATAAGAAAAAGGCACAAACAGCGAAGAAAAAATTCTTTTCGACGATTCATTTTCATGAGCTGTACAATCGTAATTATAATTAACACAGAAATCTTTAGACCAATCAGGCACTAGTAAACTTTGTCCTTGAAAATTGTACTACATAGTGTAAGGTGTAAGAAGGGATGACTAATTGTAAGTTAGAAAGGAGACAGAAGTTGACATGTCCTAACAAGTGTGAGGTAATGACTAATCCATATGCTTGTTTAGAATGGACAGGAACTAGTGGAAAGGATATAAAGTTTTTTTTGTATAAAATCTGTATGAAAAAGCAATGTTATCAATGAACAGTAATAGAGTGGTAATAAAATGTGGATGATGGGAATAATAATGATAATAAAATTATTAATAGCAATAATAATAGTGAACTTATATATTAAATGAAAGAAGCAAAATTACAGTAAGAACTTTACTCTGGCCATGGTAGGGCAAGAGAATGTATGTATCGCTTTTGTATGCACAGTTCCGGTTTCAGATCTCAAATAGCTAATGCTTCAGCTATGTACAGATGGTGCATCCGAAGTCCCTTTGTACGATACTAAGGGACTCTGTGTAACACTGTGAAGCATTCATGTGGGGGTGCTCGATGTCCGGAGATGACAAGGTGTTCGAGGATCGAGCTGTTGCTATTCTTCTTTTCTCCTCTGGCTAACCAAGCTGGGCAGTGTTCCAGAATACGTCTGTGGACTTGACGTTGCGTACGGCCGATATACTTCGTTCCACACGAGCAAGTAAACTGATAAATACACAGTGAAGCGGCCAAAAGCGGTATCTTGTCCTTAGCGTTAGACTGGATTAACTGTCTGCAGGAGAATGTGATAGGTAGAGTGGCTGTTGGAAATGTCTTCTTCAGACTTTTGGAAAGGCGGTTTCTGAGAATTTCCGCTGCGATATCACCTCTGAATGCTAGGTTCATGAAGAGAGGCTTCTTAGGAACCGTTGTGATGTTTGACACCGGAGGCTTCTCCTTCATGTTTTTGTCAATAAATCTTGGTGGATACCCATTCTTGAGTAGGGTTTCACGTAATAAATTTAATTCTTTCTCTAACATGTCTTCCGAGCAGATTTTTCTAATCATTGAACACAATGTACGTACCAGGTTTCTCTTTCGGATCAGTGGAACAAAGCTCTGGAGGTTGATAAACTGTCCAGTCCATATTGGCTTTCGGTATATCGATCTTTGGATCGTACAGTCGTGTCTTCTGGTGAATAGTACATCGAGTAATGGAAACGAGTTGTTCGATTCGCGTTCTAAGGTGAGTCTTATTGATGGGTACGTTGCATTGAAGGTTTTGAGGAGAGAATCTAAATCACATTTTTCATCACAGATTATAAGCGTATCATCTACGTATCTCTTGTATAAGTGCAGTTGACATATCAAGGGATCAAGGATGTTGTTTTGGAGACTCGCCATGAAACAGTCGGCTAGGAGTGGACCGAGAGGAGACCCCACCGCTACTCCGTCTTTTGATATTTTGATGAAGTAAACAATGACCTGACAAACCTAATGTACACACACATACGAAAAATAATTATGCATAATTGCAATTGTACAGATAAGTGAATCGATTCGCCGGAAACAGACTCTTCGCTGAACTGTTTGTTATTAAGTAAAAAAAAAGCTAACAACTCCAACAGGTGTCAGTGATTGTCCGACTATATTTTTATATAAATATTTTTACATCGTTCAGTTAAATAACTCAGTTGTTTTGTTCTGTGAAAGTACTGTTAATTCAGACTCCGTCTTTATCAGTAACACTGGTAATTTAAGCAAATGAATTGCTAGCTTCATTAATTTTTTGGCTCACTTTTAATTTGTATGCAAATAAATGCTAATTTATTGACCATGTCTGCATATCTTTACGTAAAACCACCTCATCAAAATCACACAGTAGTCGCTATTTCGTAATTGTATATTCTTCGTAGAAACCTACTTAATGTAACAGTGAATATGATAGCAATTTCTCTAAACTTGTTAACCTGTGTTAAGCAAAGCAAAGTAATTAAAACAACTGACAGACTTTTTGGCGGGAAAAGTGTTATCATCATTAGAATATTAGAGTCTTTTAGAGAGTATTGAAATGATCTGAAGTAAATGATCAGCGGAAAAACCTTTTTACCGATACTGCAACAACCAACACCGATTATTAACTTGACATAAACGTTTCTTTGTCAGCGAATGCACACGTGCTAAAGTATTCTTATATTAACTTATGCACAATTAAACATATCCGATCAATATTCTCCTTCAAATAATTCAACCAGACTAAATGATATCAGCTGTAATTAATCAATAGTTTGGAATAGTATATATTAGCACTGACAGGCTACATACCATAAAATATTGTATATCTAACTGCCTAAGTTTTATTCACGCTTTTCGTTAGAAAAAAGGCATTTATTTTTGTTTTTCTTTAATACATTCTGTTGATGATTCATTGCCTTGGATTATCAATAGGATGAAGATTATTTTAACGTTATCTTCATAAATCATTTTCACTATTATTATGATGATGACTTCTTCAACTGAAAAAAACATTCATAGTCCTAGTCTATGCAGTTCATGCAGCCTGACAGAGAAATATTATTTCGAATCGGCAGTACAAGGTATGGTATTTAATATAAGTAAAGACGAAAATCCTCTGCACATGGATAATTCTGAAATAATTTCTGATAATCCCGGTGATGAAGAAGATGGAATCTATGACTATGTCATGAATGAAGAATATAGGCAGAAAGAACAACAAAATGAGGAACTAATTAACCACACAAAATCATTTGATTGCTCAAATGACAACAAAGAATCTACTGTGCCTAAAGAAGACTTGAAAATTTCGTTAAATCAGAAGAAGTTGATAAGTACTCAGTGGGATGAAATGAAACCATATAGCACAAGTAGGTTATATGCTAATTTCAACAATAGTACTTTTCAAAAAGGTGATCATAATGATGGCGAAGATATATCATCCGAGATTGGTGTTGACATCTACAACGTCGATGGTCAATCAAGACTTGTCTGTAACATATCTACAAGTGAAGAGACTCCATTAAGTTTCCCTTTAGTAAAAGCGTATTATTGTGACAGCTCTGGAACTGGTCGATGTAGTTATGTTAGCAGGATTCCTAGTCAGGATATGGATAATTATGTTGCTATTGATAATGACGAAAACAAATATGTCCTCTCAAATAGTCTAGACAAAAAGACAGTTTATGATCAAGAAGCCCAGAATGAAAACTCACCTAGTATTAATTACATCAAGGAGAAATCTTTGCATAGATGTGTATCACAGAGTGCAATTTCTGACTGCAAGTCATCTGTGAAACTAGATTCTCACTGTGGATATAGTTCATCCTACAATCCACTTAAAATACCTTCATCAGTATTATCATGGCCTATGCCTGTACCGTTCAGACTGCTAACTTCACATACAACCCATCCTGCATTAGAAATTACCAGTCTGTTTAAGTATAGAATTAATTATCCATTTTTAGTTCAATGGGTTCAAACATTATTGCATATCTATTTAAAATGGCGAACTGGTGAGAAAATTCCGGATAATTCAGCTATACAAAATGCAAGACAATCTGTTAATCACTTCTTAGAATTAGTAATTAAAAAGAAAATCTACAAATCAAAACGAAACTACAAACGTTTAGTTGAAGTTAATGGTGATAAATATAACACTACTGACAATCTGCATGATGCTGAAGCTGTACCGAATGAAAATCTCCGATGTTCAATATTGAATTTAATTTTAGATGGTGAAATTGAAAACCCTGAAATATTTGAAAATCAACTATGGAAACGACGCTACTACAATCTGCTGAATGCAGTTGATTTCGTGTATAAAGACTATCAGTTATTGCATTATGTTTGCAGGGAAGGTCTGTTTGACTATGTTTCATGTAATCCAAATACTTCGAGTGACTCTAATTATAAATGGCATGATGGCGGCAATGTTGACAAAAATACAGAAAAGATGGCTAATCATGCATTGACTGGCTCTGATCCCATCGGTTATTTGGCATATAAGATAACACAACTTTTATTATTAGAAAAGAAATCGAAATCCACAGGAGGTCAGAATAATCTGAATCAATGGCCTTGTTGTCTAAGCATATCAGTAGCCTTCCTGAGTGATATAATTGCACAAAGTCGTATACTACGAAATGATTTGGAACACAGGTTAGCGATTCATGATCGTCTAGTGTATGTACTAGGACAAGCCAGGGATCAACGAACTAAACTGAGACTTCATATGCATAAACAGAATGAAATTATCACTGAATTAACGCATAAACTAAATCTAAATCAACAAAAGATCAATCAGTTATCTGCACCGATCACTGGAAGTGTTGATATCCCGTCTTCTGTAAGGAAAGATAACTTTTCTTCAGCAATTACAAGTCCATTTATCGATACAGAATATCCTCCGAATGAACTAATGACATCAGATTCACCAAAAAGTCTGTATACTTTTAACAAGAAAGATGGACAACAAGACAATGACAGACAAAAATTGTTAGAATTAGAACAAAAAGTAATTGAATTACAACATCAAATTGCTTCGTTTGAGAGAGTATTAAAAGAGGAAGAAGCCTACCGTAAACGTATACATAATTATATACAAGAATTAGTGGGTAATATTCGTGTATTTTGTCGGTTAAGACCAGGTAATAATAATACCAAGTTTAAGAATACTACAAGTGGTTATGAAAATGTGAAAAGTTCATTCAGTGTTCAAAAAAACTATTTAAGCGTTAATTCGAATGACAAATTACTATTCTGCACAGAAACAATACGTGATTACATTAGAAAGCAACAGCAATGTCAACAACAAAATCAGATCAATTCATCCGGATTGTTCAACAATCTCAAAAGTATACCAGGTGTCGGTGTCAATGGCATTAGTCCCAGTGGAGTTGCATTTTTAACGCATACGAACATCCCCAGATGTTTTATATTTGATCATGTTTTCGGTCCCGAAGCTCAACAGAAGGATATATTTAATGAAATCGAGGATTTAATTATCTCTAGTTTAGATGGATATAATGTCTGTATAATGGCTTATGGTCAGACAGGCAGTGGCAAGACGTATACAATGATGGGTACTAAAGAAGAACCAGGTGTGAATAGAAGAGCTATCAAACACCTATTCGATAGTTGTTATAAGCGTAGACACTGGAAGTATACTATAACAATGAGTATGGTGGAAATTTATCAAGAAGATGTCTACGATCTCTTATCGAATGATATTTCAATCTCTGTCAATTCAAACGATAATGGGCACAGAGAAAACAGCAATGAGAGAAAAACGGATCCATCAGTTGGCATCATATCACGCAGTATAACGAAGCTCAATCGTAGCAACAAAAAGCTATCAAAGTCCAGTCGACCGTTATTGCCATGGAATACATGGATCAATACTGTAAGCACACAACATTCCAAATCTCGATATACACTTTATAATCAACAACAGTCACGTCAGCGTAATTCTGTACGCATACTGACCAATGAAACCGATGAGCTGATATTTAAAAATCTTAAGGAACATCTTATCACTAGTGAAGATGAAATGTTGTATTATTTAGAAAAAGCTGAAAAACAACGCCATGTTGGTTGTACACAATTGAATATTAGTAGTTCAAGGTCACACTTAATTATTCTGCTAAAAGTTCATGGTGAAAATCATTTACATAATATAACTAGTCATGGTGCACTAACCTTAGCTGATCTAGCTGGATCTGAAAATGTCACAAAGTCCGGATCAACTGGTGAGCGATTTTTAGAGGCAGCTTGTATTAACAAATCACTAAGCTCATTAGGTCGTGTATTTGATGCCTTGAGACGACAACAGAAACCCACCTACAGGGAATCAAAATTAACATATCTCTTAAAACCAAATTTAAGCGGTGATTCCAAGTGCTTACTATTAGTCACCTTACGGACTGAACCAGAGCATGCTGAGGAAACGTGGCGTGCAATACACTTTGGACAAAGTGCTCTACAAGTTGTACCTGGTAGGCAGAGAGACAGCCGAAATCGACATCATCAACACTATCATTATCAGTATCAACACAGTCATCCTTCAAACAATCACCATCAGTCAATAAATACACCCAGTTCAACAAATATCTCACTGCATATTAATAGTGGTTTAATGAGTCCTGCATCCTTGCTTAGCTCTGTAAGAGCAGGGCAGAATGATAAGTTAGCTTCAGTTAAAAAGCGTAGGACACTTCTTTCACATTCTATATACTCAACTGATTTGGAGAAACGTAAAACATGGAAGTAGAATTATGGAAAGATGACGATAAAAGGTGCCCACAGAAAACTGATAATATTATATTGTTGATGTTTTGTTTTATACCGGAAAACGCTACTCATTTCTTCTGAACATTTTTATTTTATGTCTACAATTATTTAATAACAACTGGTCATTACTTTGTCTCAATCCCTGATTTTGATTAAACTAAGCGAAAAGAAAGATTTTGTAGACCATGAATCCAAATACCTTATTCTTCCGTGATCATGTCAATAAGCTATGCCAACAGGTTGCATGCATATCAGTATAACATGTTTGTTATTTTGCAAACGTCTAAAGTTGCAGTCCATTATATTAATCTAGATGCTCATGTACAGTTAGTCTTCATCTCTTTGTCTGCATTACATTTCGGTCAATTGCATAATCACATATTCGACTGTATGAAATCAGAATGCTTAAGAATTCATATAGCTCAGCTTATTGACGTATGACTTGCGGAATTTCATACAAATTGAACGATTTTGTTAAATCCCACCAGTTATCCCCTTCGCCGTGCATGTGTGTGTATTTTTATTTACTTTTTTGTATCTTCAAAGAATTTATGTAAGCGGGCAAAACAAAAAGGAATAGTTACAAGTCAGACATATTTTATATGCATATAAGTGTATTTCATTTTGAATTCTTAAAGAATAAATTATAAATACATGACAGTGCATATGGTTGACACTTATTAGTTAAGCTTATTGACTTTTATCAATTCTCTAATACTGCGTCTTTTTTATCCACGATGTATTATAATTTCTAGAAAACACTTCCTTGCTGACTGATCAACGATTCTGTTTAATCTATCTAAGTTGCTTCTTCAGAAGCGCCTCGTTGACTTCAGCACTCTACTTACACCTAGTGGGTTCTGGGTTCGAGTTCCACTGCAGCTAATTAAGCCTAGAGCTAACTGAGTAGTATAATATCATCAGCCCTCAGCCAATAAGTGTGTCTCTTAGCCCAGGGTACAAAATGAATCTGTTCCGGTAAACTGAGTTACATGTTATTATAACATCAGATTAAAGAAAGAATGGTCGTAAATGTATAATTTGATCCTATGAAATCTTCAGAGGTTAACAGAGGTAATAAATTCCCAGGCATTGAGTCCCATTTATTTTTCAGGTAGCAATATCATTTGCGTGTCCAGCTGAAAGGACTGTTGAGAAAAGGGCCGAATGGAGATGTACTGTTGAAGCCATATTATTCATTCGGAACCAAAGAGAATAATAATAATATTATAATTCTTCGCAATTAACACGTGTTACTGGTAATAATCAGCAATACTAATGAGTTTGACTAACGGGAGTATAAAATGTTGCTTTATTGTTCCCGATTGAGTAGCTGTAATGCACAGCGTAGACGTATACAGGCATTTAGGTGTAAGGGTTGATAGTATCATCTGGATGTCCTTAGTGCAGATCAACCTACATAGTGTTTCGACGAAGTGCTCCACATTCGATTACTATTCATTGCTTGATTAACCGATGAAACACACAGTATTTCAGGGGCACAGTTTACCACTCATTTCACAAATTAGAATTTTGCCACTCCTAACTGGTGTCTCGTCAATTACTGTTCTCAATCGTCTTCAGAAGTTCCATTTATTCTCTTAGTCTACGTTACTTGTATTCAGATAGCATTGTATAGGTGAAACCTATGTTCCTTGTGAATTGAACTCTTTAGTCAAGATCCTAGAGAAGAGTCTACAGTGCTTTCATTAACATCATGATGGTCATACTGTCAGTGTCATCTGGGTGACTGGCGTGGATCATTGGCTTTCTAGCTAACAATTTGGAGAGTCAACTTCCATTTCATCTGCTGTCATAGATTTCCAGACATTTCTATATCCAATCTTCTCATTTCTCCTGTGGTATGAGGAGCCTTTGCTGGCTCGAATATCGTACGGATATTTCGTGTCCCCATGCATACTTTCGCGTTCATCGAAAGAAGTCACATTAGTGAAGTCTTTCAGCCGGTAGTATCATCCATCTTCAAATTAAAGTAACTTTCCAATCCTGTAATTAGAGGATTTTTATTTTTCTGTCCTTTAAAGTTTCACTAGCTATAGGGTTGTGTTTTACCAGTTGGCGTTACCAGCTCTACTCAAAACCTTCCCTCTTTTCCAGGTCTAGAACCAGTTAATAAACTAGGTGAGGTTAAGTGCACTACTATTTATTACAAAGTAGCAGTACAACAGTCAATGATGTTGGTGGATTTCAGTTACACAATGATTCCAGATTTTAAGAGATGAGATAGTTAATAAATATGGAAGCTGAACTTGGTATCTAATAGAGACTATTTGTTCAGAATTTAATTCAATAAATAACTGGAGTTAAGATTAACTGTGAAACAGACTGCTAAATAGTCCTACTCACCCGTCACTTGTACTAAAGTGAGGTGCTGTTGTCCAGATGTGTTTATCTTCAGATTAGTACGCAAATGTTTCAAACAGTAATAGGCATTACATACAGCAAGCAGAAAACTGAAAAATTATTTGGATATTGAGTCATACTACTGCCAAGTAGATTATATATATATATATATATATATATATATGACAAAGAAGAAACGCATGCTAAACATACTACGATTTCTGCTCATGGTATTTAGAAGACTCTGAATCTTCCCACTATTCATCCAGAAGGACAAGATCATCAGCATACACTAAACTTACTGGAATATACCCTGGTAACAAGTCAATTTTAAGTTGACTGGATATACATCCATCATTACATTTATGGTGAAATCAAACAAAAATGGAGACAATGAGCATCCTTGGCGCACGACACTGGTTGTCATTACTTAAGATGACAACTCTCCACCAACCCTCAGTCAGCTGTATGGGTTTGAGCAGAGTACACTGACTAGAATGATATACTTTCTCGGCGCTCGCCTCGCTGCTAGATTTTACCACAACACCTTTCGGTCTATGGAATTGAACGTAACCTCTAGGTGTTATATCATGTTCATTCTCTGATTTGTAAAGATCGAATAAAATACAACCTTAAACCCCACTTTAATTAATTGGGTTTCACTTGTGTCTGTTGTAGACGGTTATATTAGATATATTCAGAAATTGCTGCATTTGTACTAATAATATCTGTGTAATCCGACCGCATATTGTACTAGATGCCTGAAAAACAAAAGATTTATTTAAACCTCAGGCATACAAATCAGTTAATAAACCGGTCACAAAAACCATCATAGTTGGTAGGTATCAGCTTCAAATTTCTCGATATGAGAACAATGACAAGACACCTTATAAAGTGAGTGAATGTCGTTAGACTTCATAAGACATAAAAAATACACTTAGTGGTGAAACAAACAGATTAATGCTAAAACAATAATAATTTACTTTATTACAAAGTAGCACTTATGATACAGTGTAGAATTCTCAGTATTTAGTACAGTAATGCATCTAATCTACTCGACGACAGCAAAAACAAAAAACAATATTACAGAGGTATACGTAACCAGCATTGATAATAAAAGCTTTTTGGTATTTGCAGTGATAATAAAGTCAAAAATTTACAAATAGTGTAAAATAATGATAATAATGCTGATAATGAAAACTATACCTTAATTGCAATATTGCCACCAAAATATACAAATAGGAGAGAGTGAAAGAGCCAATTATTTTGCTAAAAACATAGTAAATCATAGGTTTCATGCTTAACACTATCTCTGTCACAAAGAACGTGGGAGAAATATGGCATCGTTGAGCCTTTGTACTTAGTCCTACGAGCATATAACCTCTTATAATGACTTCTATTCCCATCTGAAGAGATGCTTTGAGAGAGTTGAGAACAGAGGTAGTTTTGGGAGCCAGACAGTGTGGATTTAAATCATTTCTCACATGAATTCAGGGATCTGTCGACTGCAGTAGTAACGAGATGATTTATTGTAAAGTCACTTGCCCCTGCATTCAGATATAGTCCTTTCTAAGTAGCCTAAGAAAGACTAAGAGGGAGCAGTAAAGTAAACTAGGTAAGACAAAAGAGTTAAGAAATTGTATGAGAAGACGTTTAGTGATTCTTGATTAACTTAACTTCTTACTGTTGTAGACTGAATTGAACGTTTTCTTAGAAATCAACAATATATAGGGTGACCAACAAAAGTTAGAGGATAGAAATATTTCAACGTATTTTGTGCTTGACTTAGTTTCTGCTTCAGTACCCTCTATACTACAAGCATCAGTTCTTGTAGATCACGTTTATGCCTCAAGGTAAATTTAACTGTCTGACATTTAAGGTTAAACCACCAGCATATTTCCGACAGCGCGTTATTATGTTTGGAACAGTCAGACTGACATTCACAGCACCTTCCCTCTTTACCAGTCTTACTACTGGCTTAGCGAGGTAAAGGAGTGCGTCGACTGGGGATCGAACCCCGAAACACCTACGTGATGGGCAAGCAATCTGCCGCTGTGCCACCGACACATCAATGTATTTAACGAAGTTGGTTTCATCCGAAAGAGACAGGTCATGTAGGAAGAAAGGAAAAAGAAAAGGAGAGAGAACAGTACTTTAAGGGACTTCAGCTGAATATCAGCTAAACAAATGCTAAGTTGGTACTGGTATACATCAGTGTATTTAAGACTGGTTAGATTTTTGAGATGAAATAGCTAAAAACTTAGTCTCATCTTCAAAAGTTTACACGCATTTGCTTTTTAAAAGTAAATTGCTAGTATGACAATGCTGAGAAAAGAAAGCTTGTTGATTTCGACAGCTGGATATACATTAAAAGTGGAATACTTAGACATTTTCCAAAAAGGGGTAAAACGGCTACAGCGCGATCTGCTAGTAGGTAGAGTCGGCAATGTCAACAGTTGGATGAGTTAATGCGCTTAATATGTGTTTACTTTTTGCACTACTCACTCTGTCGTTAATATCACAGCTTAGGTGTTATGAGCAAATTATTATTTTCATGAAGGTGTCACCGATTAACTAAATCTCTCTAGATCAAAGTATTTCTATCGCAGGAAGTTAACTGCATATCACGATATAACCAAAAACAAATAAGCTTTTTGAAAAGAGTAAGAACAACCATTAGAGCAGAATAACATGCATCCTTTTTAGTAACTTCGAGTTTTAAAAAATGAATTTGTGGTTCAGCTACGGATCAATTTCTACAACCGATAAATGATCAATGGATGTGTGAAGCATAAACTATCGGTTTGGGCCACTTCAATCTGTGTTTATAAATTCACCTGTTCTTCTGGAGCTAGTTATAGTGACTGCACAAAGCGCACACTTTTCAAACGCACCTCTAAAAAAGGAATTATTAATGAAATACTTCTGTTACGACAATAGATTATTATTGCAATAATGCCTTCATCTGGTACCCTCTCACACTTAAGAAGATTGAAAGAGGTGTTATAATGTCGTCTGAAAGAACATGTTCCTAAATAGTTGTTAGGTCACATAGGAAATCTAAATATACTTAGCCTGAATGAGAATCTATCCACTGCAAAACACATTACAAAAGCAATATTAATGATTGCTTCGAAATTATTTCACATAACTCTAATTCAAGGTTGGTTAGTAAAAGTGATGGAAACACTTTGGGGATTAATCACATGCATCCCAAGCTGTGTGTACAAAAAACAAAAGACTTCAACCATTGCTTACCAAGGACTACTTGACCTGTTTAAATATGATTGGTCATTAGTATGTACTTTT